AAGTGCATTAAGAGCTGCTCCAGTCGATGATCGCATCGCTCCAGTTGCCATTACGCAGGCAGTCCTTTGTAGACTATTTAGTCCGTCTTTTGGTTGGCCTTATTACACCAGACAATGGAGACGCCTCACTCTGCTGCTGTACAGCCATAGGATCATACTGGGACGCTGGCCCCAGTTGTTCCCAAGCATACGACTGCATGTTCCTAAAACAATTTTAGTCGTATGACATACGTTGCTAAGGTAAGAGTTCCACGTTAGTTTTTGGTCGATTGTCACGTCCAAATACTTAACTTTTTTGATTATTAAAAAAATCAGGTGTTGTTTGAGGAAATCCATTACATTGAAGTTGTTAGAAGTTAATTTGCTAATTGCCGCGTAATAAAATACAATGATGTATCCTGCCTAATCTAAAGAGTTCCCCTTCAGCACCACTCTCAGCACTACTTCACCTGTGGATGCCTCGAATAGAGGCGAAACACGTATCGTATTATCAAGAGTGGTGTGTCGTCCCTAGTGCGATGTTGGGTGTGGTGCTACTGGCAGTGGTGGCTACGGGGATAGTGCATTAAATTGATGGGGGTTGGGAGGTGCTCTTCAGACTGGGTAGGACACATCATTTTATTTTATTATGCGAATATGAGCAAATTAAGTTCTATTAACTTCAACTACATTAATTGGCAAAACTGAATGTTAGTGATAAGAGTGAGTGAATTGGTGACAGATGCCCACAGGTGGTAGCGTTTCGGTTGATTTTGGCTCACCCGCACGGTGCGGTCGCACCGCTCACACCGCCCTAGGCCCGCCACAGCTCGCACCATAGATTACTGCTCGCATGGACGGTTTTCATGCGATAATACGCAAAAAAATACTTTCGCTGCTAAGAAGGTTGAGAGATAGTCACAACAGCATTCTAAAAACAGTATAGGAGAAGTACAATTCTCCAATTTTGAAAAAGTTTGTCCGCACATTAACCTTTACTAACACTAGTTTATAAGTAATTTGTTACTAACACTACTATGTATTAGTTACAAACCGAAATAAAGATGTTATTATTAGTAGTAAAATAAAATCAATACATAAATAAAAATCCAACCAGATGGAAGCCCTCGGAAGGGGAGACCAAACGGCCGAGGGTTAGGGGGAAAGGGAAAGAAACTGACGGACGATGCGAGCGGTATCGAAGAGTACCGCCTTCTGCATTTGAGATTGGAGCGGTTCGTCACGGAGTCTCAGTCGCCACAGATGACCCGAGAGGCTGACTGGGATTAACCCGTTCGCAGAAACGACTACAGTTACAATTGCGGTCGACAGTCCACACTACATGTCGGTCACCTCGTGAAATAGGTCCAGATTTTTTTTAATTATTATTGGTTTGATTGCTCCTGTAAGACTGCATTGCGCAGTAAGCAGGGGTATTATCAGGCCTGGGTTTACATTTCGGCGGCTAAGGATGTAAACACCGCCAAGCTTAAAAAAGAAGTATAACTTCGCCTTCAAGTCCTTCAAGAGTAATTGCCAAGGAAAAGAATGAGTACATTGACAGTATTGGCGAGAAATTCCTTCGGAAACCCGAGGTAATTTCTGTGAGCCATCATTACCATCTCTGCACAGGGAGGACGACTCAGTGGCCCATGTCGCAAAAGAAAAAGCTGATCTTTTAAGCTCTCTTTTTGCGTCCAACTCCAACTCGACGACGGGGGTACACACCGCCGACCATCCCGCGGTATGAGTGCTCTGTTCCTGATGTGTGATTCACACACTGCTCAGTGCGTTAAGCACTCCTCTCCCTGGACACCCACAAGTCGAGTAGGCCTCACGGAATCCTACACATAAATTGTGCTGCAGACGTGTGCTCCAGAGTTGGCACCGGTTCTAACGCGTCTTTTCCGGTACCCCTGCTCCTTAGGTGTAGTTTCGAATTCACGTAAGACAGCTTTCGTGCACCCGATCCCTAAAAAGGTATTCGCTCTGATCCGTCCAACTACAGGCCTATTTAAATCACCTAATTGTTCTCCAAAAATAATAGAGTCCATTAGCAGCCAGCTCACGCGGTATCTTCAAGAGCACCAGCTGATTACCAGTACGTCTTCCGTCGGGCACGCTCAGCTGTTGTTCGTCTTGTTTACCTAACACATCGATAGGCACAGGCAATAGAGTCCAAGAGGGAGGCTTTGACGGTTAGTTTGGACATAGCTAAGGCCTTCGATCGGGTATGAAACAAAGGGCTTCCCTCGAAGATTACTTCCAATGGGCTTCCTGAGAAATTGTGCAAGTGGATCACCAGTTTTCTGTTTGGTCAGAGCATCGGAGCATCAAGGTCGTAGTAGACGGTGCATGCTCCGATTGCAAGCCTATTAATTGCTATGCGGACGACAGCACTGGTGATGCTTTATACACCGGCCGTGCCAATATTTCTCGGTAAAACATCGCTGAATACCGGAACAAACTTGTGTCTGAAGTAGAGACATTGTTGAATAGCCTCGGATTGGGCGACTAAATCAAGTTAAATTAAATCCCTAGAAGACACAAGTTTGCGCATTTACCGCTAAAAAGCTCTTCTTTGCATCTTGTTAATATATATATATATATATATATATATATATATATATATATATATATATATATATATATATATATATATATATATATTAACAAGATGCAAAGAAGAGCTTTTTAGCGGTAAATGCGCAAACTTGTATATATATATATATAAACTATATATATATATATATATATATATATATATATATATATATATATATATATATATCATATGTTACTATCGTATTTATTATTTTTATGTATTCATTTATCAGTAGTAGTAATGTATGTACTAAGTTTGCCATTTCAATATAATTTCCTTTATGGGTCTACTGGATGATATTTCAGCAAATTATGAAATAAGTAGAACTTTTGTACGAACTTACTATAAGACTGCTTCTGTATCTTGATGTTTGAGTTTCAAGGCAATCACTCCCCTTGTTGCCGCAGCCAGTATTGGATTCCTCGGTGTCGACATATCGAAGGATGTACAGTTTCGTGGTCACCTATAAGAGAAGGTCAAGTTGGCCTCTAAAGTTTGGCGTGCTCAGCAGATAGGGACAGTTTTCACGCTGGCACACCACCTGCAACTTTTCAACCCGCAGGTATAGCCACACATGGAATACAGTTTCTCTGGGCCGGACTCCCCAGTGCCAGCACCTTCCATTTAACCGCATCCACCGCAGAGCGGCTCGAATCGTTGACGAACGAGTTCTCTCCAATCGGCTCGATACACTTGGACTGCGAAGAAATGTTTTATCTCTTTGCATTTTCTATCCCATCAACTACGGGGAGTGTTCTGAGGAATTGTTCGAATTAATTCCAGCCGCAAAATTTTATGAACGCACATCGCGACAAATTTGACGATACCATCCACAGTGGCGAAGCTAGAGCTCCAAGCTAGGGCAAGCCCAAGATACAAATTGATAAAAATATAGATTGTTGTTTTTAGCAGTTTTATAAAAATACACCAATCTTGAACTGTCTCCACGCTTCAGTTTCATATTCAGTACTGTCAAGGACGTGTTTAACAAAGCACACAGAAGGCATACCACTGCTAGATAGATTGTATTACATATCAGCAATTGCATAGTTTCGGTGGCTTTGAAGAAAGCCGTTTGGGTTTGTTTAAGCGAAAGAAAAAAATATTTACATCCAATACAATACATGAACAAAAATAAAACACGAACAAAGTACAAACAAACTATGTACAAAATTAAAAAAAATTATTTACATTCTAATGGATAAGAGATAAGATAAGATAAGTGGAATCGTCTCGCTTTCTTATGGAAAGATTTAATTACGTTCACGTAAAATGTTGGTGAAAGTTTTAATTGTACCAATAACTATTTTTAATTGCGATAATTGATAAGTCTGAAATACACTCTTAACCTTGTGTATTATCTCAACAAAGTTTAAAGATTTCCTCTCCGATTATCACTTTAACACACTTCAATTCATCACAAGAAACACTATTATCCTCCATTTTCATTAAAAATCTTTAAAAAAGCATAAATTTTGAACTTGTAATATTAAATCGCTTAAGATAGGCACACAGAGTAAATAAACATTGAAACGTGAAATGAACTTGCAAACGTATTGCTCGCGCGCCTCCGCTTTTAACAAATTTATTCCCAAAAGCCTGGCTTTAAATCTCTATACTGATTGCTATATATAAAATCGTAGTTATATTTCATTATAGAATATTTTGCCATAGGTTAGAAAGAGAGCGATCGTCTTCTCGAAAGCCCCGTAAAAAGCCCACGCGCGCGAGGGAGACAACTATTAGCTCTATTAACTCATTTTTTATGACAGCAGCAGTATCGCTAAGACAATACGAGGTCATCGGTCGACATGTGTCGAACAGTGGAGTGCGCGGGAAATTTGAAATAGCTTGAAACATTTTACGAGTTATTTTATTAGTTGATATTATTGATTGATATTATTGAATGATTCAGGTTTAATAAGGCAAGCCCGGCTTTTCGGATTTAATGGAAGCTTCGCCACTAACCATCCACTCTTGGCTTGGCGGTCCACCACTGTACAAAACGTACAAACCCGCTAGGACTGCTAGGACCGACTTTTCTTCTTCGTACGACCTCTCTCTGGAATCATTCACCACCGGCAATTTTTTCGGACTGATACGACTTAGGGACCTTCAAGAAAAGAGCTTACTCCTTTCTAAAAGGCCGGCGACGCACCTGCAACTCCTCTGGTGTTGTAGTTGATCATGGGCGGCGGTAGTCACTTTCCACCAGGTAAGCCGAATGCTCGTTTGCACCCTCTTCTATAAAAAAAAGTATAATTCAAGATAAATATTGAAAATGCCAATTCAACATTTAGAATGCCTTTAATTATACTGTGATAGCAAACATCAACAACAGTTTTTGTCACAAGAATAAAATAATTTAAAAATATATTTTCTACACATCGAATATACATAAGAAAGAATTTAACATTTATAGAGATTGTTCAATCTTTTCAAAGTATTCCATGCATTTGTTTCTGTAGAAAGTATTGTTGTAGAAGACAATATTACTGAAGAAGTCTTCTATGTTTGTCACCTGCACTGGAAGGGAATTTAAAACATCCTTCTTCTCGTTCTGTCGTACTTTATTGCACTCGTCATCTATGATCTCCAAATACTTCAGAGAAGGTTTGTTAATGAAGTTGTTCAGAAGAATACTTCCAGAAGATGCAAAGCCGGTTTTTTCGAAACACGACTTTGATAAAATATACAACACGCTCACATTAAAGTGCGTCAAAGTGTTGAAATTCTGCAACAGGATTGATTCACCATCCGACAACTCTCTGAGACCATTCAGCAATGTTTTAAAGCAATTCTTCTCATAAACGTTGTAATTATCCTTGAACTGGATTTCGGGCAATGTAACAATTTTATATGACTCAGTTTCAAGGTTATCATCTACCTTTGGTTTAGTAGGCTTATACAGAATGATCTCCTTGAATTCCTCTTCAGCGAGAATCTGTTGATACAGTTTAAAGATAGGTACAAATATAAACTTTGAACTGTTAATCTTTTGCAATGGTCTGCCATAGGTAAAAACCAGATTGATTTTTGCAGTTTCGCCATTGGACATCCATTTAACTGGCTCGTTAATGAGAATTGTTGGGTTAGAAAGCAGTTCGGCTTGCAAAAAGGAATTTAAGCTCTTCAGTTTCTCTTTCAAAGACATCTTTGTGTACAATTGCCTCTCCGTGTAGGAGCCTCGGTGGTAGCGTGGGTTGATATTAATTTTATTTTCTTCGTGGAGGGTTCCCTTTAAAATCTCCTGTGCATTGTCAATTGGTTTAAGATCATATTTCCAAATGAACTCTGAGGCGACTAACGCCCTGATCTTTTTCATATCCCTATGCAATGCGATATTTTTCTGCATGAGATAAGCCTGGAGGTTGTTGTTTATGACTTGGCACTGGATTGAGCAGAAGTAGTAAGCGCATTCCTCAATCTGCTTGAGGAATGATTCGGGTATTTTTTCAAGTGGGAACAGTGATTTATTCGAGTAGAGTTCCGTTCCGAAAGCAGAACGAAGGATCGGTAAGTATGGTGTCAGATCGATACCTTTGTATCGCAGACAGATTGCGTATACCTCGGAGTTACCCTGACGAGAAGTGATCGGTTTGTAAATGTTGACTTCTTTAAACAGATGATTGATAAGATACAGAAGACTTACAGTGGAATGTTCAAAAATTGTAAACAGCTTAAATATGAGAGTCCCACCTGAAAAAAAAAGATATTTTTATTAACTCCAGATAACATTTAAGGTTAGTACCAAAGGTAATCATAAAGAGAGAGCATTTAAAGGGCGCAACACTCATTACTTGTTATGAAGTTGTTCAAACAGCTATAAATATTAAAAAATAAATCAAATGCCATAATTTGATTTCTACTTCAACGCTTCCGACTAAGCTTTCATTTAGATCAACTTCACATAAGAAGCGACAATAGGAAGGACTATAGCGTGCCTAGTGCGAGTTTTTTTACGTGTTCGATCCCGAGAACCTTAACTACGATTTTTATGGAATAAATAAAGTGCCAACTAGTGACAATAATCGGAAACACAATTCATGAGTGCGAGTTTGATAAATCGTGAATATCGACCATCTAACATTGACTCGCATTCGACAGTGAGAACGTTAACGCTCGTGATTGGTTATTTGAAGAATTTTGCGAGTGCAAGCGGCCTTTTTAATCGTTCGAGACATAACTTAGGTAAACTTTACGCTATCGAAAAGTTTTCACATAGAATTTTACAGTGAGATGGTTAATTTTATTTCGTTTAATGTGAACGATACGAGGGTGGATTGAAAAGTACTCGGCCTAACACAGATCTATTCAATTCTAAAAATCAAATCTACCCACATTATTTAGTTCAGTTCAGACTAGTTCATTGTGTGAAGTTCGAAACGTGTGCGATAATTAGTTGTGATTTTATAAATTTATTAACAAAGTAATCGGACATAATTTCCGCGAATGGAGCAAATCGAGCAGCGTGCCGTCATTAAGTACCTCCATAAGAAGGGGCTATCATCAAAAGCCATCCATGATGACATGGTCAGTACATTAGGCAATTGTGCTCTGTCATATTCATCCGTCAAAAAATGGATAGCAGAATTTAAGCGTGGTAGAGAGAGTGTGAAAGATGAACCCCGCTCTGGAAGGCCTTGGACGTCAACTACTGACGAAAATATTAAAAAAGTACTTGATTTAATAATGGGAGACCGCAGATTAAAAATTAGAGAGATAGCCGAGATTATAGGCATCTCTTATGAACGAACTCAAAACATCATTGTCAACGAGTTGGGTTTCCACAAGTTGTCTGCGAGGTGGGTTCCGCGACTGCTTTCAGTTGAACAAAAAAAGGACGCGATTGACTATTTCACGCGACTGTTTGGAGTTATTTGAAGCCGATGCAGATGATTTTTTGAATCATTTTGTTACTACGGACGAAACATGGGTTCATTACTGTACACCGGACAAAACAACAATCAAAACAGTGGAGAAGACCTAGTTCACCACCCCCTAAAAAGGCTAAGTCAATTTTGTCGGCAAATAAGGTGATGGCTTCAGTATTCTGGGACTCGAAAGGTGTGATTATGATTGATTATCTTGAAAGGGGTCAGACTATAAACTCTGATTACTACTGCACCTTACTACGTCGTTTACGAGAGGAAATAAAAGAAAAACGTCGAGGAATGCTCAGAAGAAAAGTCCTGTTTCATCAAGATAACGCCCGTGTTCACACGTCAGTACAGTCAATGGCTGAAATTCACAACTGTGGCTTTGAACTGTTACCGCATCCGCCGTATTCACCTGATCTGGCACCATCAGACTTCTTTCTGTTCCCTAACCTAAAAAAACACTTGGGAGGTCAAAGATTTTCGACAAACGACAAGGTCAAAGCAGCTGTAGACGCATATTTTGACTCTAAGGAAGAATCATTTTTTTTCAACGGTCTAAATGCTTGGAAGGGGAGGTGGCAAAAGTGTATTGAATTTGATGGTGATTATGTAGAAAAATAAAAATATAACTGATTTAGTATGTGTTTATTTTCTTGGTTAGGCCGAGTACTTTTCAATCCACCCTCGTATATAATTATGGCAGGACGTTTTTTTTCGCTTGGAGGATGTTTACAGCCACTAAGGTATAAATAAATAATAATTATAAATGACTGCTATTATAACGCCAGTGTATAGAGTATATAGAGCGTGCATATTTTAGTCCGTTGTAACATCCCGATGACACGCAATTTATTGATAGATATGGCATTTTCTATTAAAGTGTTCAAGTTTTGTGTAAATAGCGTTTGATAAATCTAAGGTCTACCATCACTATTCAATAATTAATTCACATACATACATAATACATAAACACTCACGCCTGTCACCCAGAGGGGTAGGCAGAGACTACAGACTTCCATTTGGCACGATCCTGACACACCTCTCTCGCCTTTTTCACATCCATACACCTACGCATACATGCTCGTCGGTTAAGAGTACTTCTAATTTGGCCCGTTTTCAATAAATCGCCAATTTGGTAGATAAATTTTCGCCTAGGACGTCCCTTTCCGACTCTGCCATTCACTTCTGCAACATAAATTTTCTTTGTCACTCTTTCCTCATTCATTCTTTCCACATGACCAAACCACCGAAGCATTCCTTTCTTAATCCTGGTCACAACATCATCTTGCAAACCACACTCTTCTCTTATTACACAATTTCTTACCCTGTCGTTCAGATTCAGCCCTAACATACTCCTTAAGGACCGCATTTCTACTGCATTGATTCTAATCTCGTGCTTCTTCTGCCACACCTAACTTTCACTACCATACGTTAAAGTAGGGACCAACACAGCATTGTGAATTGCCATACATGCCTTTTCTGACACATTTTGACTCTTCACAATAGAGTGCAGGGCCCCATTTACTCTATTTCCCGCATTCACTCGTCGTTCTATATCCTTATCATATCTCCCATCCCTGCTAAATACGCAGCCCAAATATACAAACAGTTCCCAGCATAAATTAAACAAGGTGTGCAGCAGGCCTGCCACCACTTCCTCTCCAGCCCTTAGCATTTCGAGTGAAACTCTATCATATCCAGCTGCCTTACCTGCTTTCATGCTTTTCATTGCATTCATTATTTCACCTATACTTATCTCGCTACATCTTTCCTCTTCTTTCGGAATTTCTACTTCACTTAGTACACACGTTGTCTCCTCACTCATAAACACGTCAAAATATTCCTTCCATCTCTTTAAACTCAAAACTTCATCAATCAGAATATAGCCATTCTCGTCTCTTATAGCATTCATCATAGGCTGTTTCGAATGTCCCCTGGCAGTTCTTACAAGTTTCCAGAACATTTTAATATTTGCCTGGAAATTATCCGATATTTTTCTATCATTCTTATCCGTTCTTTCTTGCTTTTTTCTTTCAACTACTTCTTTTACTCTCTTATTAAGATGTCTAAAGACTGCCCTTTTTCTTTCAATATCATCATTCATACCGCTAGAATTACCAGCCTTTGTTGCTAGTAAATCTAGCCATGCTCTCTTCTTTGCTTCAACTTCCATACGTATCTCATCATTCCACCATAACGTATTATTTTTCCTTTCATTCTTTCTCTTACTAACACCACATACTTCGGTAGCTGCATCCACTAAACCTTTCTTTACATTTTGCCATACATTCTCCAAGTCTAACTCCTTCATACATAATTCATCCAAACCACTTATATTTTCTTTCAGTCTACATTTGAACTTGTTTTTCTCACCTTCATCTTGTAACCTTTCTATTCTAATACGCTGTAACGCAGTGGTAGACACAGATGATCGATGGCGCCAACGCCTGAATAGACCATTAATTCGGCATAAAACCAAATAATGATCCGTTCCTACGTTAGAACCCCGGTAAACCCTTGTATCCACCACTGTGCCCCTCAATCTTTCATCCACAATTATTAAATCATCATGCTTCTATCGTCACCTCTTTCCCAAGTATACATGTGAATCCTCTTGTGGCGAAAGCAAGTGTTCGTCACAAAAAGATTCTTTTCCATACATACGGTGAGAAGACTTTCACCATTCTCACTTATACTTTCATCACCAAACGTGTATTCTTTCATAACCAAGCCTCCTCACCCCAACCCTTCCATTAAAATCTCCTAGCATAATAATATTTTCATTTCCCTTACACTTCATTAACACCATCCTTACCATTTCCCAAAATTGCTCTCGGATATAAGTGGGCTTAGACATGTCTGGGGCGTAGATCCCTAACACAAACAACTTCTTTAAGCCCACTTTCATTCGTATCCATAGCAGTCTTGGGCTTACACATTCATACTCTTTCACACATTAGCCCATTCTTTCTGAAAGGATGATACCTACTCCCTGGCATGCCCGCTCGATCTCGTCTACACCAGACCAGTATGCGGTATACATGCCATGTGTAGTGACATCCTTCCCCTTCCTTTTAGTCTCATTTACACATAACACGTCTATTCCTCTATCATACATCATATCGCATACTTCATCCATTTTATCATTCATTGCCCCACATACATTCAACGTAGCCAGACGGGCCTCTGCAATCCACTTTTTGCCTCTCCGGGAGACAGAACGTGACGGGTGGCGAACCTCGTCGCCGGTTTTCCTCCCGGAGATTCTTCGCACCCCTGCCCCATTAAAGGGGCGCCGGGAACTCGGGGCCATTTTTTTTACATGGTTCCTCATGGTGCGGATAAAGGGTAGTATATTTTACGCCTCTACTACGGCGTGGAGCCAAGTCTGTGCTATCGGCTTGTCGCTCATTTAGCACCACCCGGGGTACACGTGTAGGGTGGGCCTAGGAATAGGTGGTTAAAGCCTACGGACGCGAGCGACTTATCCCCCTTAGGAATAGATGTGTTATGTGTAAATGAGACGAAAAGGAAGGGGAAGGATGTCACTACACATGGCATGTATACCGCATACTGGTCTGGTGTAGACGAAATCGAGCGGGCATGCCAGGGGGTAGGTATCATCCCTTCAGAAAGAATGGGCCAATGTGTGAAAGAGTATGAATGTGTAAGCCCAAGACTGCTATGGATACGAATGAAAGTGGGCTTAAAGAAGTTGTTTGTGTTAGGGGTCTACGCCCCAGACATGTCTAAGCCCACTTATATCCGAGAGCAGTTTTGGGAAATTGTAAGGATGGTGTTAATGAAGTGTAAGGGAAA